GTTCAAATGTTTGAAGCCTTTAGTTTGGTTATAACTTATTTAGTCCGCACCCCCGGGCACAGACTGCACTCTTTTTCTGGATTTTAATTTTTTATGGAGTGGGGGGGGGCATTGAAAGACTGAAAACAAGGAAAGGAAGAGTACTATAGTGTAAAGCGCATAGAGCCTGCTGTTGAGCGGGGATATGCGCTTACAAATGCTATCTATTATTATTATTATTATTATTAGGACAGGAGGAAAGGAAGAGTAGGAGGAAAAGAAGTAGAAGGAAAGGGAGAACAGTGCATGACTGATGGCTCAATCTTTAAATATATGAGGACACTGAATTTGATAAATGCAGTAAATGTGAGGCATCGTGGTGAAATCAGGTGCTCGTCAAAATAATAAGAACAGAGGAATCAACATTATTCTGCCTGTTGGGCAATTTTTATTGATTTTCTTTATAGAAATTCTAAATACCTTTTATTCTAAAAACACATTTTTGTGCTGATTTTCTTGAAAAACGTTGATCAAAGGCATAAAAAATATAAATTTGCAGCTCAACCTTTGGAAGTCACCGAACTTTGGCAGGCTATTTTCTCAATAATTTTCTTCTGACACCAGGAACCCCCCTTTCGATCATAAATATCTCACCTTCTATTCAAGAGGGGGGGGGGGGGTGTCCGTCAAAAGCAAGGCAAAGGAACAAACCTTATGATAATATAAATAACTTAAGTCCAAAAATCCACAAGCACCAGATTCCATTACGTCCTGACACAAATGCAAAAGCAAAATCTGATGTACCTTCAAAGCTGTATGGACTTGTGGGAATTCACGAAGTCGAAGGCAACCTTTGGGCTGACTAGCTAAAGTTCTCAACGTCCTGGAAACAGATTAGCATAGTTCGTTCTATATAAATTTACAGTCCTGTAGACACAAATTCCCTATTTCACAAAACTCCGTGGCTCTTCTGTCAATTAAAAAAATTCAATAAACAACAAGCAATGAGGAGAGAGACAGACAGACAGAAAAAGAAATAGAGAGAGAGAAAGAGAGAGAGAGAGAGAGAGAGAGAGAGAGAGAGAGAGAGAGAGAGAGAGACAGAGAAAGAGAGAGAGAGAAAGAGAGAAAGAGAGAGGAAGAAAGATAGAGAAGTTACTAAAATTACGACGTCTGTTAGTCTACCATTTGAGGGTTTGCACCCCCTTTTGAAAGGCAAAGTGTCTAATAGTTGATCACCTGTCAAACATTTTGTTTTAAGTCTTAACCATAAATAAATAGTCATATAACATAATAATGATGTTAGTATAGAGTTGTATGCACTGGTATCAGAACAATAGCCAAAATTTCACAATAACATTTTAGATTGCAAGCTCTGTTCTTGTACCTAGAAAATAACGTTCTCTCTTGACTGATAAATCCTTTTCAAAGTTTAAGGCATTACACAGTTTCCAAATAATATAGGGAACTGACTTTTCCATGATCAGTCCATCAAAATCATGAAAATAGCAAAATAATAGAGGGAACAGTGTTGTGTTTTATAAGTTAAGAAATAAATGAAGAGGAAGACCACAATGTTTTAGATTTCTTTTGAATGAAACCAGTATATAAAGTAATAAAGAAAAAGACAGACATATCCAAGTTAAGAAGTAATAAATAAACAAGTAACTAAATAGGTACAGTGAATTTAAAAAAAAAAAAATATATATATATATATAGAGAGAGAGAGAGAGAGAGAGAGAGAGAGAGAGAGAGAGAGATAGAGAGAGAGAGAGAGAGAGACAGTGAGAGAGAAGGAAAACGAAAAAAAGGAAAACCAAAGAATCATTCTCTTTAACAATAATACTGCCTTTTTAAAAGAGTGGAGGAAAGGGAAAAAAACAAAGAAAGAAAAAGACAGACAGACAGACAGACAGACAGACAGACAGACAGACAGACAGACAGACAGACAGACAGACAGACAGACAGACAGACAGACAGACAGACAGACAGACAGACAGACAGACAGACAGACAGACAGACAGACAGACAGACAGACAGACAGACAAGGAGGCAGGCAGGCAGAAGGTTGTGAGCATGTATTGTAAGAGAGAGTGAAAAGTCAAAAGCAAGCAAGAAAGCAAGCAAGAAAGCAAGCAAGAAAGCAAGCAAGCAAGCAAGAAAGAAAGAAGAAGAAGAAGGAAGAAGAAAAGAAAAAAAAGAAAGAAAAGAAAGAAATGTTTGTTTGTTTCAGTAGAGGTTTCACGGCCCTCGCAACTGCATAAGGTCATATGAGCGCTAGAAGATTAGAGGTATTGCTAGAGAGTAACAAACACAAAAAAGAAGGAGGGGAGATATGGGTGACAGATGTTTGATAGGAAAGAAGGACCAAACCACACCACAGCACCCGCCAACCACCAACAAAGAACGAAAGTAGCATAGAGAGAAAGAAAGTAACAAAGAAAGAAAAGGGGAGAAAAAAAGAAAGAAACGGGGAGAAAAAAAGAAAAAGTAAGAAACCCATCCTTCTGTGAATAAAGTCAAATTTTAATCACCGACTTACATGGCGGCAAACCATCCTGTCTCGGAGTCTTCTGCGCTGAGCAAAATAGAAAGCGTTTTAAGCACATCATCCGAATGGGCGTTACCAAGGAGACGGCTATGGCCTTCCAGGTTTGTTGCTAGGCAACTGAGAGCAAAGCAAGCGTTCTTGCTTGCTCCCGTGTCTTCGCAGCTCAACATTTTGGCAAGTGAGGAAATCTGGAAGGAAGACAACTCGATTGGAATTTGATATCATAACAGTATAATTCCATTATTGAAACATTATCTTTCACAGGGACGGGAAGGGGGGCTAGGAGTGTGTGTGTCATGTCAGAGTGTGTGTGTGTGTGTGTGTGTGTGTGGGTGTGTGTGTGACAGAGAGATAGAAAGAA